GATTCGCGGGGATGAGGAGCTCAACCAGATAGTGAACGCCACCATCGCCCGCGGAGGTGTGGTGCCGTTCGTGCACAAGAGCTTGGAGAAAAAGATCATCAAGAAGTCCAAGCGAGCAGGCTGAGGGGGAGGTCGCCCCCGGGTGGGGCGGGGGAAGAAAGAGAAAGGAGTGAAGAAAAGAAAAGAAAGGACCCCAAAGAAAATGAAAAACAGACAAACAAAAAAAAAAACAACAACAAAAAACAAACGAACGAACAAACAAAGAACAGAACAGAAAAGAGAAGAACACAAAAACTAAAGAAAGAGGCAAAAAAAGTAGAGGAGAAAAAAGAGAAAGCGGTGGCTGTTTTGGGCCGCCAGCGCTATGGAAGGGCTGTGGCCGGAAGGGGGGCGGATGTGTGGGCACGAGGGGGGAGGTGCCGGCGACCACCACGGCACGGATCAACAACATGTCACAGGGAGAGGAGAGAAGCCCACAGAAATCAAAGGCCGCCACCACCACCGGCTTTTCAGCGGCACTCCTTTTTTTTTTTTTTTTTTGCCACACGATAGAGTCATGTATTCCATACTTTTTGTTTTTTCTCCACTCCCACTTGTTCGGTGTCTCTTATTGGCGCGCGATGGGTGGGTGGGGTGGTGGTGGGGAGGAGCAGTTTTCAATGGAGGGAAGATAGATGAAAAAAAGAAAAAAAAAGAAAAGCGAAGGAAGCAGAGGGAAAGGCGTGAAGGGAAAAGGGCAGGCTGGTAGAGGCGGGAGAAATACAGAAAGAGGCGGAGTTAAGCCACCTTCTCTCCGCATTCACGAATAAACGTTGTAGCCATGCCTCTCCATATATATTTTTATTTTTATTTTTAATTTTTTCTCTGCTTCCTTCTTGTAATTTTTGGTTTTTGTTTGTTTGTATTTCTGTTATTTCCTAGAAAAATCGTTGATGGGAGCGAGACAGCCACTGCCATCCGGTGGGGTATAGAGAAGAAGAGTCTGCAACTGCACTTTCCCAGCAATTCCCTTCATCACGACTTGTTCTATGCATTATGCAAGGCGGAGATGGAGGAGTTTAAGAGTGATGTTGCGTCTCTTTATGTTGTGTTATGGTTTATTCCCTTGTGCGTGTACTGATTTCTATTTACGTGGCTGAGGGAAGGGGAAACCGCCATGTACATGAATATCGACTGCTCGCCCCTTTAGATTTTTTTTTTTTTCTTTTTTTGTATTTCCCTACGCAGGGGTTCATTAGGAGCATTTGTAAGAGACTGCGGAAGAAAAAAAAAAAAAAAAAGAACCAAGCAAGGGTGTGCGTACTGAGGTCGCACGGCGGTATTTGTTAGTCCGTTGTTTCTGCTGCAGATGTGGCGACGCAGGGCGGTTCTGCCCACTGCCGCGTGGCTAGAGGGGACTGCCTGCCGTTTTATTCACGGCGAGATGCGGCACCAAAACACAGACACGAACAACACCCGCATACCGTGGGACTTCTCCATAGCAAGCTATGAGGAAATCAATAATGCTATTCTCCCGAAATTCCCACGGAGCCGCCGAAGAAGTGCCGTGATTCCCCTCCTGCATCTTGCGCAGCGGCAACAGGGCGGATATATCCCTGTGACAGCAATGTACAAAATTGCCCGTATTTGTGAGGTGCCCCCAATGCAGGTCTTTGAGACCGTGACGTTCTACTCCATGTTTAATCGCCAGCCAGTGGGGAAGTATCACATCCAGTTTTGCGTGACAACCCCGTGTATGTTGTGCGGCTGCGACGAACTTGTCCAACGCACGGAGGCTTACTTGAATGTGAAGATGCATGGCACGACGAAGGACGGTCTCATCACACTTGGGGAGATGGAATGTCTTGGTGCCTGCGTCAATGCCCCCATGCTTGTTGTGAGCGATTACAGCCGTCCACCAAATTTTTCATATGACTTTGTGGAAGACTTGACATGGGATGCTGTCAAGCAACTCATTGAAAATTTACGCGAGGGCCGCCCATTTAAGGTCGGCACCCAACGCTCCGATCGTAAATGGGCGGATCCGGCAGGCGGCCGAACCTCAATTTTCCTGAAAGAGCCACCAATGCCGTATTGTAGAGACCTTGATGCGAAGCCAGATCCACCAGCAGCCCCGGCTGCTGCCAAGAAGTAGTGCGTTGAAAGGCAATTAGAAAACCGGGCTGGTTGGGGGAAACGTAGTGGGGCCGGGAGGAGCACGCCCATACATATATACATATACATATATATTAGCTGCATTTTATGAGGCTGCTGGGTAACGGGGGTGAAGTGTTTTTTTTTTTTTATTGGGTGAGGAGTAGTGTAGTATAGATGCCCGCGTGTGTGTAGTGAGAGGTGTACATAGATGTATAAAGACGTTTGCGTATCGCTGTTTCCTTAAGAGCCTTTTGAGTCATTGGTGTGTGGGATGAGACGGGGTGTAATGAGGTAGAGGTATGGGGCACATACATGCCAATATTTATGACATTGGGAGAAATTAAAACTGTAGGAACGACCCGTGCAGTCTTTTGCTTCATTTTTTTTTTCTTTTTCCCTCATCTTTTTTTTCTTTTTGCTTTTTTTTTTGATGCAATGAGACGGTGTCACCGTTCGTGATTTATATCAGCTCCACGACGGCCACCAGAGCCATCAACATCAACAGGACAACCAGCTATTCAACCAGCTGCCGTGGACGAGCGAAAGTCAAAGTATGTCTTACCCAAATTATTCTCTGACCGATTCCATTCGCGCCGCACTTGCGGCACATGGGGTGCGGAATGCTCGTGTCGTCATTGATTTGTTACCGGCGAACGGGCAAATGGGTGTCAGTGGCAATGAAAACGGAATGAACGGCGATTGGCATGTCGTGCAGCCAGACGACATGGAAATCATCATCAACGAGCGGGAGGGGGTACTGTTGATGGACGGTACACCGGCGCAGCAACCGCTGGAGCCGCCGAAGACGCTTCCGCCGCCACGCGCTCACTCGCCGTCTGGAACAGTCAGCGCACCGCCAGATCTCCTGGTGGGAGGTGACGGCGCGCGGCAGCCGAAGAAACACCACTCTCGAGAGAAGGTGGAGGGCGGTAACGGCTATGATTTTATGGAAAACGTGGTGGAACCCACAACAAAATCAGATGATGCGCTGCCACACGGGTCTTTTGTCGGCGATGTACCGTCGAGCGGGTCCTTTGAACGAAAGTTCCCCATTGTGCCTTTGGAGAATCTCCATAAAGTTTCTCTGTCGAGTGATCTACCAAGGGGCGAAGGGGCGGGCGAGGGGTTGCCGCACGATCCAACGACGCCGTTGCCCAGTTCCAGTTTGTTGAAGTCACCATCCACGCTCTTTTCAACCCCTCAGGCGCCAGATGATCGGCGTGAGTTGAGGAGCAATTCGTCTTCGTTACCGGCGACTCAGCCAGGAAGCAACCGCAAGACAAGCGTTGTACTTGTAGAGAAGCTGAAGGCACCGGCGCCGCCTGTGAAGACCACACCGTCTGGCCTTATGCCTGTTTTCAGCATTCTCAACACAGAGCACAGTGAGCAACTTGAACGCCTACCTAGCAATGCCAGCTCACGGAAGGTCAGTAGCGTGCACCTGGTGGAATCGCCATTCGTGGAGGAACTGAAGCACCAGCCCCACGTCGTTGAGGGGTCGGAGGCGGTTCGAAAACCGGGCATTCTTGTCACGGGGGCGTCATCAAAGACGGGGCAGACTGACGCAAAGCCTGGAGTCGTAGGTGGGAATGGTGAATTGAAGTTTCCCCATGTCGGTGAGCAGAGCAGCCAAATGTCAGTATCCAGCGAAATCAACGCCAGTGTTAACGACAAGATGCTCAAGACCCCAACATCACATGTAGATTTCTGGAAGCTCAGTGGCAAGCAGCGTCTGCAGGAGATGCTGCAGGAGCAGCGGGAGATGGAGCAGCAGGACAGGTTAAGTCGTGCGAAGCACGAGGAGATTATTGAGGAGGCACAAAAGTTTTTGCAGAGGCTGGAGCAAAATAAAATGGCATCCAGGGATGAAGGTGAATTGCCCTCACTGCCGCAAATTAGTCTGCGTACCGGTCCAGCGTCTTCTCGCCCTGTGGCGGCGCTCTGTGCATCCCCTCACTGTTCATCGCTATCGCCCAGCAACGCAAACGGCGTAAATGGCATAAAAGTTCTCAGGTTTACGCTGCCGGCAAGTGGAAAGGCGAAGGAGGAGGTGGTGAGTCAACTGAGCACCAGCCCGGGGGGCTCCCAACACCTGTCCAGCAAAGACAAGTACTCTATGCTTCTTCAGGAACAGGAAAGGATCCTGCGGCAGAATGAGGAGGGTGAGGACGAGTACAAGAAATTGGTGGAGCGGGCTGTCGCATTTCATGAGCAGCGGAAGGAGCAGATGCGTCTGCACGAGGAACAGGGGTCTGAGGAGGATGAAGAAGATGATCCCGTTAAATTGTGAGTTCGAAAATTATTTAATATCTATATATATATATCTATATATCTTTTTATTTATCTATCTATCTATATATAAATATAAATATAAATATGAAAGGACGGATGTTTTGTCTATCCCTCTTTTCGGTATGTATACAATGAGTATTTACATATGTATATGTAAATTTGTCAGCGTGTCACTTGCTTTCTCCCCTCTGAAAGGGAAGATGGGGAGGCGGGCGGGAGGCGGGAGCAGGTGGCACGGAAAGCAGCTTTTTTTTCTTTCTTTTTTTCTTTTGGAAATAAGCAATGAAACGAAGAAGGAACGAAGAGACGAGAAGAAAAAAAAAAAAAAAACAAAAACAGAGAAAAAAGAACAAAAAAAGGAAAACAAAAAAGAAACGAGGTGGGAAAGAGGAGGGGGAGAACGACGTGGGGTGTACGGTTCTGGTCAAACTATCCTTTTTTCTCTTTTTTTTTTTTTTGGGGGGGGGGGGGGGGAGGGGGAAACCAGCGGTGTTTGTGTTTGTGTGCCATATTTTGGCTCAGTCGTTTCTTTCACGGTGCGAGGAGCGCAGAAAAGAAAATAAAGGAGGCCGGAGGACTTCTTGCGGGAGTTGGCGGTTCCCCCCCCCTCCCTCTGTGTGTGTGTGTGCATGAAAGAGAGAGAGAGGGATAGACTGGGGTGGGACGTTTTGCTTTTCCGCTGTGGTCACCGCCAACACTCACATACGGTTGATATCCCCATTGGTGCCAGCACTGCTGTTTTTTTTTTTTTTTTACACGCACGTGTGGTGTTGCAAATGGAACGGCAGCAGCAGAACAAAACAACAACAACAAAAAAGGAATTATACAAGCAGACGAGACGCGGGCTCAAACCCACACAAGGAGAAGGGTGGTGTTGAATGAATGGACATGTGACGCCAGGTGCCTTATTACTTTTTCTTTTTGGTGCCAATTGTTTTTTTTTTTTTTTTTTCTTCTGTTTTCTTTTGACCGTGAAGCCAAAAGAGGGTCATGCGCTGTGTGGTGCCAGGGATGCCTCGCTGCTCGAGGACGGCGGAAACAAACGAATATCCCACGAGAGGCACACATGCCCGTTCAGGGGTGGGGGTGGGGGTGGAATAATTACAGTTGTAGTTGCTTGCATTCCCGCCTGTCACCTACAGTGCCCCTATTATAGGGTCCTGTGTGTGCGGCTATTGTGCTTGTGACGTTTTTTTTATTTTATTTTTATTTTATTTTATTTTTCTTTTCTTTGTTTTGCAATCTTTGCGGAGTTTTTCTGTATTTCAAATTTACTTTTCATTATTTCACCCGTATTTATATAACTTTGTCTTTCTCTCTCTCTCTCTCTGTGTGTGTGTGTGTGTGTGTCTGTGACTTTGTGCCTTCTCCCCCTTTACCCCTCCTCTGCGGTGTGTTTTTGTTTGGTGTCTGCTGCTCACCTTTTTTTTTGGCCGCGGTGCGGTGTTGTACCCGCCTGCGTGTGTGCGACTCATGCAATTTTTTTTTCTCCATTGCGGTTTTCTTTTTTCTCTCTTTTCCCTTTTTTTTTTCTTTTTTTTTGTTACTTCACACGAAGAGGGAGAAAAAACAACAAAAACAACAACAACAATAGAGCGGACGAAGAGGGGAATTCCTTTTTTTTTGAGGGATAAAACTCTCCACTTTATTTATTTATTTCTTCTCATTTTTTTTTTTTTCCTGCTGCTGCTGCTGCTGCTGCTGATTGCCGAGGCCTCCCCATTCGTTGCGTTGTCGTTCTGCGGCAGGGCGGTGCGGGGGAGCCTGACAGCGGCGCACGAACACGGCGAAGCGCAAAGGCATCGGCGCATAGAAGACACGAGTGGAGCAAAGAAATTTAGGCACACGCAAATACTCACGGGAAAGTGAGCGGCAACAGAAGGAACTGTGCAAAAAAGCAAACAAACAAACAAACAAAAAGAACAAAACGTGATCTTTACGACGAAGAAAAGAAATTGAAAGAAGTAGAGGGTTGAGGGCGTGTCACATGTACGCGGATCCCAATAATCTTGAGACCGGACGCGTTCTTTACAGCACGGATGTCGCAAATTGCACAGACTCTCGTCCGGATGACTTTCAGACGGCGGCAGACGAAATTGTTCGGCGTCGGCATGACTGGGTGAAGCTGAATGTTGGTGGGACATACTTTACAACAACATTCTCCACGCTCTTTTCGGACCGTGATAGCTTGCTTGCATTACTGGTTCAGTCCGAGATGGAGCGGATGGCTCCTGTAGACAGGGATTCGGATTGCGCCATACTGCTGGATCTTGACCCGCTCTATTTCGCCCCCATACTGAACTACTTGAGGCACAATGTGCTCGTCATTCCACCCGGCGTCCCTGCAGCCGGTGTGTTAGCCGTAGCGGAGTACTTGAACTTGCAGGGGGTGATTCGGCAGCTTGCACCGGAGCGGCAAAAGAAGCGGCAGCTGTTGTACAGTTGGGGCTCTGGCGCGTCAGGGGAGTTGGGGACGCAGCGATTTCTGGATTGCAGCACACCAACGCTTGCACAAATTACCCCTTTTGGTGTGCGGGTGGTGGATGTCGCTCTTGGTGCCAACTACAGCTGTGCCCTTTCCGAGGATGGCAATATCTACACTTTTGGCAACGGAGACTGGGGCCAACTTGGACTTGGGAGTGCACGCGAGCTTGACGAGCACCCGGATGACAAGTCGGCGGTGGTAACTGTGCCACAGCGCATTCCATTGTTTGAGCAGAATCCAGCGGTGCATCTCGCCGCTGGTTATGCATTTGCCATGGCCCTAACAGCGGGTCATCATGTCTACTTTTGGGGAAACACAATCACGGGCAGAGTGGTCTTGGGCCAAGGTACTTTGACTACTCTCTGCGAAAGGTGGAGGAACCAACACTTGTTGATACGCTTGAGGGAAACGTATTGTGCAATTAGGCTGTGGTAGCTTTTTTAGTTTGGCACTCGGGGATGATGGGACGCTGTACAGCTGGGGTTTATTAGAGTGCCTGGGGCTAGGGACAACCGAGGAGGTGCGGGCCGCTATCGATGACCCCTTTATCATCACTGAGTCCCTCAGCACGGAGAAACGAACTGTGGTGTTGGTTCCACAGGTTGTGCATGTGCCAACGGAACATAAACTTATACGCGTGCATGCGGGGCAATGGCACAGTGGGGTTATCAACACGGCGGGGGAACTTTTTACGTGGGGCGTTGGGTACCAGGGCCGTCTTGGGCATGGCGACAAGGAACCAGCGCTTGTGCCAACCAAAGTACGCGGTGCTCTCACCGGACAGCGTGTGATTGATGTGGCGTGTGGCTCCTTTCACACCGTGGCGTTGACAGAGCGTGGTGCTGTGTATTGCTGGGGCGACAATGCCAGTGGGCAATGCGGGGCAAAATCCACCATTGATGCGGTCACGTCACCGTATCGGGTTGTGAATCTCGAGTTTGTTGCGGGAGGTGTCGCCAAGGCAATCTCCTGCGGCCGTCAGCATACGGTGGTGGTGATGCAAGGGCCACAGTCGTGGTGCCAACGCTCGTGCTGCAAATTGGACCACAATGGAAAGCCACGGGCCCCACATGGACAGGTCTTCACTTTTGGTGAGACAAATCGCACAGGTGGTGGTGCTGCGATCAGCGGCGGTCCCGTCATCTGCGGTAAGATGCAAGATGGCAAGGTTTACCGCCAATTTCGTCTTGTACCATCACTGAAGGACCTAAACGTCATTAATGTCAAGAGTGGTTTGCACCACACGTTTGTGTTTGCTGAAGAGTTGTCGAATCCCATGACGGTAGCTGGAATGGGAACGACAGCCATGGCGGGCGGCGACCTCCCGGACTACTCTGGCACGCAGTCTTTGACATCGCCAAGAGACTGGGCGATTAGTGATGCATCCGCTGGAGTGTCAGTGAATTGGCGCAAAGTACGCAGGGGAAATGAATAGTGGTGCGGAGTGAAGGCCGGAGATGCATAAAAACGGATATCCAAGTTTTTTAATGCGACTTTTTCGTTTTGTTTTTTGTTTGTTTATGCGTGTGTGCGTGTGCGTGTGCGTGCTTTTGGTTACCTCTCTCTTTCTCTTTTTTTTTTTTTTACCGCTTTTGTGTGCGTCGTGTTGACGTGGTTCATTCTGTTCTTTTGATGGGGCGTGCCTTTTCTCTGTGGTAAGGGGCGGGGTGGGGACGTTGGTTTATGTTGTTGATTCACAGTGGTGTTGTGGCGGGGTCTCGTGCTTCTGTGCATTCTCGCCTGAATTAAAAGGGGGAAAAGTGTGACTGGGTGGGCGGGAGGGAGGCATACATGTGTATATATGCGTAATGGATGTATATTGTGGCTGAGTCGGCGGTCATTTGTGGTTTCCATCCTCAAGTCTTCTACGGGTTGTATCAGGGCGAAGGGACATGCATGCATCATTTTTTTTTTTTGTCTCTCTCTCTCTCTGTGTGTCAGTTTGTTTGCGTGTGTTGGGGAGGGGTGGTGAATTTTTGATTGCCAATGTGGTCATATATATATATATATATATTGCTTCCCTCTTCATTCACTCACTCACGTGAAGTCTTTTTTTTTTTGACTTCCCACAATTTGCGTGTTTTTTATTCCCCCCTTTTTTTTTTTTTGATGTTTGTTTTTCGGTGCGCCCGCGGCTGCCGCGGTGGGGCGTTGAGGGGCATACGCTGCGGGTTTTGCTGCCGCCCAGCTGTTATGTGCACCACGAAATGCCTCTCTCCTTCTCTTTTACTTTTTTTCATTTTCTCTCCTCACATATCCCCCCTTGTGTGTGGTGTGGCCGTTGCCCCTTGCCTGTGCACACCGCGGGGCAGACAGACGGAGGCTCACATCCATTAGATCGATAGAGGGAGAAGAAAGAGGGTGCGGGACTGCACGGCGATAACGCGACGGCATAAACGGAGGGTTGTGTTCGCGAGACCTGCTCGACTGTGCGGTGAGGGGGTTTTGTCCGCCGCGACATCCACACGAAGTTTGGGTTAAAAAGGGAGGGGAGGGGAGCGATAGACACTCGTCGTCACACGGAGGCAGCCACGCACCCCCCCACCGCGGTTATTATTATTTTTTTTTATTTTGCGATTTTGTGATCCCTTTTTTTTATTGTGTGTTTCTTTGCATTTTAGATTTTTCGCCGCGCGTTTAATTTGTGTCCCCGCGCAAAATAAAAAGAATTTATTGGGTTGCACGTCATGCACCAGCCACAGGCGCAGCAGCCAGTGATGCCGGCGCGGCGGTTTCCCTCGGCGCAGCAGCCACTCAGCGAAAAGCCAGAGTTCCGCGAGGGGTCCACGCTGAAGGAGTTTGACAAGCAGGGCCGTGTTGTTGGTCGCTTTCGCTGCGGGCGGCTGCTCGGCCGCGGTGGTTTCGCGAAGTGTTACGAGGTGGAGCGGGATGGCGAGTCGTATGCACTCAAGGTGATTGACCGTTCCATTCTGCAAAAGACCAAGACATTGCAGAAGCTGCACTCGGAGATCTCGATTCACCGCCGCATGAAGCACAAGAACATTGTCAATTTTATCCGCACCTTCCAGGACGACTGGAATGTGTACATGTTGTTAGAGAAGTGCAGCAATCAGACCCTCATGGAAATATCAAAGCGCCGGACGCGCTTCACTGTGCCTGAGACACAACACATCATGCTGCAGGCACTTGCTGCTATTCATTACATGCACGATCAGTGTGTCATTCACCGCGACCTGAAACTGGGAAACATGATGATGGACGCCGAGATGAATGTGAAGATTGGGGACTTTGGCCTTGCTGCAGAGCTTCAGTACGACGGCGAGCGGAAGCGGACGATTTGTGGCACGCCAAACTACATTGCCCCTGAGATCATTGATAGTGCTCACGAGGGGCACAGCTACGAGGTGGACATTTGGTCACTGGGTGTCATTCTTTACACTCTCTTGGTGGGTGAACCACCGTTCCAGACGTCCGATGTGAAGGCTACTTACCGCCGTATCAAACAGTGCCGGTATGAGTTTCCCTCTCGACTGGATATACCAGAGAGCGGGAAGGAGCTGATCCACCGCATTCTGCAGAGCCGTCCTGATCATCGTCCGACACTTGTGGAGATACGCACTCATCCCTTTTTCCGCTTTCCGACTCCTCCGTCCAGCGCGCCACTCTCGCTGTTTCCCTCGTCGCGTCGCCGCATGGAGGTGGAGGGGCAACAGCAGCCACAGAAAACGTGGAAAGGCTCTGAAACGGCTCCCGCCGCGAAAACTCAACGGGAAGTGCTTCGGCCGCTCAACACGAACACCGTGGCTCCGGGGCGCCAGCCGGCCCAGCCAGGGGCCGCATCACAGGCTCTCCTCTACGGTGGCACGGTCCCTAATGCCTGTAACCAGGGGAAGGTAGAGGAAGCAGGGGAGCCGCCTAGCGTCGATTCTGCTCGCCCCTTACCAGCAGGTGTGCCGAAGGGCGAGAGGCATGTCACGGCACCTCGTTCGACGTATTATGTGCTCGACGATGAGGAGAGGAATCACCTCACCGCCGTCCACGACCACCTCCAGAAGACACTTCTCGGCGAGGTTGACCATTACGGTGGCGAGAAGCCGCTCATGTCTCTGCCACCAAATAACACCGGAAAACTATCGAAACCACTCACAATGACCACCAAAACAAAAGCAGGTGGAGTAGGGATAGAAACGGCAGAGGAGGACAAGGGGGCAAAGAACGAGTTTCCACTCCCATCCGTGTGGGTGACAGATTACGCCGATTTCTCTGCAAAGTATGGACTCTGCTACAGGTTGAGTACGAGCCACACAGGCGTGCACTTCAACGACTCCACGAAAATGGTGTGGGAGCCCATCACGGGTCGTGTGGAGTATTATGCGCGGGTCAAGGAGGTTGTGTCGCATAACAATGCCGGTGTTATGCACGCCAGGGACCAGCGTCAGGCATTTCACATGGAAACATTTCCCGAGAGCCTCAACAAGAAGGTAACACTTATTAAGTATTTCAAGTCCTACTTGTCGCGCGCCCGCAACGGACGCGAAGGAGTGGAGGTGGTGCGTTGTTCGCCGTACATGGATCAGACACCTGTGTTGCTTAGCGAGCCACATATGATTGAGGACATTGTTTACGTCAAGCGCTGGCTTCTCACACCGCATGCAATGATATTCCGTCTGTCCAATAAAACTATCCAGGTTTGCTTTCATGACAAGGCGGAGGTTATTCTCAGTTCTGAGTCGCGGGTCGTGACATATACCGATGCCTCGGGTCACCGCATCACCGTACCACTGTATTCAGCGACCTCCCACTCGAATGAAATTGCGTCGCGGCTGCGGTACACCAAGGACATCCTTTGCGAACTCATTCAAAATCGTGAATTGTAGCTGTGGCTACGGGATCAACGAACGCAGGAAGGAAGAGAGGGGGATGCGATTGGAAGGGCAGACAAAATATATTATGAGGTATTGCTACAGCAACATACGCAACACCACAGAAGAGCCAACTGTCTGCCGCACAACTCCACCTTTTTTCTGCAGTGTTGTGTTTGTTAGAGGTGTTCTGCCGAGGACTCTACGCGGGTGCTGTTGTAGAAGTTTAGTTCTTTCCCCCTCTCTCTCCTTTTCGTTTTTTTTTTTTTGAAGATTTATGTGTTTTTTTTCTTTTTTTTGCCTTCACATCACATGTACGTATACATAAATTTGTGCACGTGTATTCTGTGTAGACGCACCTTCCCTATTTTATGCATGCACGTATGTGTGGGTGCAATATGCATGCTTAATTCACCAATAAGTAGAAGAGGGTGGAGAGAAACGAATAGATAGACAAGATGGAGTGGCTGCGTGAATGTGTGGACAGGGCGAACAAAATAAGTGGTACTCACCACCACCACCACCACCACCACTTCTTTTCTCCTTCTCCTCCGCCACGTCCCTTCACTCCTACGCGTTTCATGAGTGTCGCAGAACCATCCAAAAAAAAAAAAAAAAAAAAAAAGAAAAAAAGAAAAAGAAAAGGCACAATTGAAAGGAAAGCGGGAAAAAAAAAGGCCGATACGCACACAAACACACACACACACACACACCACGGAACGAAAGGAGAAGAGAAGAAAGGAAGGTGGGGAAGGGAGAAGGAGTGCAAAAAACAAACACACAGACAGACAGACAGACAGACAGAGAGACAGTCGCACGTACACAAATAAGAGCGGAAGAAAAGAAAAAAGAGATGAAATGTGGGCTTAAAGAACAGAGAGAAACGGCTGAAGGCTCGACTAGACGGAAGAAAAGTGCCTCTGACGCCGCATATTTCTTGACGAGAAAGGCGACAGTCGTGAAGTTTTTGGGGTGTATTTGTTTCTTTTTCACTTTAATTTTATTTTGAGTGTGCCGTTTTTCTCCTTTTCTTTTCGGTTTTTGATTTGTTTTGTTTAACGTCGTGTTTGTGTGTGTGTGTGTTTGGCTGTGTCCGGCTATTTTGGGGTTTACTGAGACAACTTGACCTTTGCTGGTGCCGACGGTGTTTTGTGGCACCGAGTGCGAGAGGGAGTTGAAGGGCTGCTGATGTCTTTCTGCGCGTTGCTGTTTTTGAATACTGTTTTCATTTCTTTTGTTTCTTTTTTTTTTTTTTTTTTTTTTATTGGCTTTACTGCGGGATGCGTCCGTCCGTCTTTCCGTCTGTGAGTGTGTGCGCCACACCCACGGCGGCTGTTATTGAGGGAGGGAGGGAGGGAGGGAGAGAAGCGGGGGAGTAGTAAAGGCGATCAGGTGGCTCAGCTGTTCTTGTGAGGGGGGCACGCAATAAATACGCCACATATATAGATCTATTCTTTATCTATCTATATATATGCGTATATGCACATATATAATATAAAATACTTTTGTTTTAGTTCTGCTAGAAATTTTTTTTTTTTGACTGCGACGGCAGCGGTAGCGGCAACAGAGAGGAAGGCTGTCAGCAGTTTTAGGCGAAAGGGCTTGGATGGGCTGTGGGGCGAGCCGTAAAGTTAAGGCTGACGCCGATGTCTCATTGCCCGTCTTTGATCCTTTGCACCACGGCGTGCGGGGACGCGGTTTGGTGGACTCAACGCAGCGTTTCCTGGGGAATGGGGAGAGAGTGTCGTTGCTGCATGTTGGCGGTGATGATGATGAAGAAAACGAGGTGCTCTCTGAAATCACAATCGAATTGTCCACGTGGAGCTGTAGGAGTGGCGTCACGTGTGGCTCCTTTCTGTTCAGGGAGGATGAATTGGTGCAGCAGTGCCAGGAGGTGCCACTCTCCATCGAGGAGGATCTTTTTGTCTACGATGATGTCGTCGTCTCTAAAAATGAGGCGCAGACAAAACACTGGCGAATTGAGGGACGTAGACCGCTGGCGTCAAGGCGGGTATCGACAAGGCTGAAGGAAGGCGGCCCCTCGGATAATTTGTTCCACTTCACAGACTTCAATATTTGTGTTGACGAGGTCGATTTGGCGGCGGATCAGCAGACGGGCGATGGTGTCTTGCGACAATTGTCTATTCAGGAAGGGGCTCAGCAGGCGGTTTTGTTGGGGGCCACAGTCGTGCGGACATTCAGCGCGGCCCCAAACACGGTAGCCGCGATGCTGCGGGCCAGTGAGCCAATGAGCCGAAAGGAGTTTTCTCGGCCTTTGCGGGAAATTCAGGTGGAGACGTTCATTGGACATGCGTCGCGTGTGAAGTGTATTTCTGTTTTTCCAACGGAGCGTAGTTTTGTGAGTTGCTCGAGCGAGGAAGCCTCAGTGGCATTGCGCAGCCTTGTAACGGGGAAGGAAGAAGGCATATTCACCGGTCACCGTGACCTTGTTATATGTACTGCCGTCTCCCCGGATGGCAAGTATCTTGCCACCACAAGCAAAGACCAAACAATGTTGATTTGGGACGCCACTATAACGAAGGTGCTGCACATATTAAGGCACGGAATGGTGGTGATTTGCTGCTGCTTTAGCCCAGACAGTAATACTGTGGTTTCAGGATGTCAAGATCGCGTCTGTCGATTATGGGACGTCCGTAAAGGAAAGGAACGAGTGGCTTATAGCAAACATGCTGGCATTATCGTCAGCGTGGCATTTAGTCCGGATGGAAAATATGTCTGCAGCACATCTGCAGACCGAACGCTTCATGTATGGTCAGCAACTACAGGCAATACATACCTGAGGCTAAATGGCCATGTAGGTATTGTTTTGGCCTGTAGTTACACTTCCGATGGAAAATATATCATTAGTAATGATGAGACGCATCTTTGCGTCTGGTCAGCTGCTGATGGGTCATGCCAGCTCCGCCTAGCTGTCACGGAATTGGCCGGTAAACCACGTGGCACATCCCGCGCTGGGAAGTTGGCATGGACATCTTCATGTGCTGCACCCGGTGCCTTCACGCGGTACATGGCTGTGGCCTGCACTAATCGTTTTGTGTATATTCTTGACATTTGCAATGGCAGTGAGCAAAGCAGCGTGTTTTGCAAGGCCCCTGTGTACTGTTTGGCGGGTGGCTATAAAGAGAAGATTGCTTTTGGGGACAATTTTGGTAATTTGTACGTTCAGACACTTTTATAATTCCCAACTGATGCCAGAGGACGCAGAAGCCATAAAAAGGGGATGAAAGTTAACTCAAAGCGAGAGCCGAGTGGGCGAATAAAGAAAAAAAGGGGGAGGGAGGAGGGAGGGAGAGGAAAAACCTCCTGCTGCGCCATTATTTCCATCATCACGGGCGGTGTCAATTGGTGTGGCGCAGTTTTTCAGCTTCGACTTTTTCCTTTCTTTTAACGAAGGCATTTTTATTATTATTGTCGTTGTCTTTTGTTTTGTTTTGAGCCAGCCGAGGAGAATTCTTCCTTTTCCCGTATTTTTCTTTCCACGTGTCTTGAGGGCTTTTTTTTTCCCCCATTGCAGTGTGAATGGAGTGTCGGTTTGTCTTTTTTTTCCTTTTTTTTTTTGCTTCACCTGCGTTAAACCCTCGCGGTGTTGATTGGCGTCACCTGCCACCTTTCAGCTTGCGCAGCAGTCGGTGTGTGTGTGTGTGTGTGTGTGCATGTCTGCTGCGGCCACAAGAACAACAACAAAGCATTATTATTATTATTATTATTATTGTTTCAAACAACCAATTTTTTTTTTTCTTCTTAATTCCCTTCTTCATATATGCTATGACTGCATGCACATTAAAATATGGCTGCGCATACACATGGTATGTATATATATATATATGTACATATATGTATGCGATGTATCTGTACGTACCATTTTTTTTTTTTTGTGTATATTTGTGTTTGTACATATTCCCTCCTCCCCCACTGCAGTTTTGCAGGAGTTCATGGAGGTGTTGGCACACCTGCTTTTTTTTTTTTTGTTTGTTTGTTTTGCCTCTTTGCATGTGTGTGTTTTCCGCCGATAAATGTTCATGTGGTGTGAGTTTTTGCCAGTTGTGCGTATTTACCTGATAGTCTGTCTGTCTGTGTGTCTGTCTGTGTGTGTGGTGCATTGCTGCCAGAGCCCCGTGCGCATTTATAGGCGTGTCCGCCGGTAAATTCCCGATACGTCCCACTACATGCCTCATGCACACTGCGAGACATTTTTTTTTTATTTTTTATTTTTGCTTCTCTCTTTCTTTTCTTTTCTTTTTTTCTTCCGCATATCTTCTCCGTGGCGATGATTCACGTGGAGGGCGGGAGCCTGCGGCTGGGAAGACAAACAGGCCGGAGGAAAGGCGGTTTTAGAAGGGCGTGTGAGGGATAAAAAGAAGAGTGGAAGGGCCACCAAAAAGTAATTTTTTTCTTTTTCTCAATCAAACTTACACGCACCCACACATACACACATACGTTATATATAATATATATATATATATAATATATTTATTTATTTATTTAAGGTTGCTGCTATAATAGTAGTAATAATAATTAGTAATTAGTAATTAGTAATTAGTACTATTATTAGTTTTTATTCCTGCTTGCCTGTGCGTGCGTGTGTGTGTGTGCGTAATATTTGCACGATTGCTGGGCGCATCGTGCTGGGTGTGTAGTGAAGTTATTACGCACATTGACTTCTTTTTTTACGTTTTTTTTTTTTCTTTGGGCGTGTGTGTGTGTGTTTGTGTGGGTTTTTTTTTTTTCCCCTTTGCGCTGGCGGCAGATATGAGTTCTTTACCGTCGCATGTACGCATTGTTGTTCGCACGAGGCCTACGGACTTTATCGCGGACGACGTTAACATTCAGCCAAATGGGACGCTGTACATCACAAGACGAATGAAGGCAGGCATCACGGCAGCTCAGCACACACAAACAAAAAACGGAACATCGAGTGGCCCTGCCTTTGCCGGCGGCGATGGTGATGGCACCCTGTCGTCATTAACCTCTGAGGCGGCCGGAGCCTCTTCCCAGGAGAAACTGGCGTTCACATTTGATGCGGTGCTGCACAACGCCTCGCAGGAGACGGTGTACGACGCGACCGCCTCCGAGTTGGTGGAGTCGCTGCTGCAGGGCTTGAACTGCACACTTCTTTGCTATGGCCAGAGCGGATCAGGGAAGACGTACACGCTGTTCGGCGGCAACACGTACCCCACACGTGGGTGTGTTCCGCGTGCCGTGCACTCCATGTTTGAATCCATGGCGGAGTCAACGGACCACGAGTTCAAGGTGCACCTCACGTTTGTTGAGGTCCACGGGGATCAGTTGTTTGATCTGCTCGGAAAGGGGCCCGCCGCTTCCGTGAGGCCAGGCGGTAAAAACAATGCGGCTAACAAAGTTGTTGTGACACTTGACAGCAACGGCGATGTTGTGCTGCGCGGGGTGGAGGAGCGGCAATGCGCCAATGAAGCCGAGGCCCTGGCGGCTATGTTTGAGGGCCTGCAGCGACGCATGAGTAGGCCGAACTCATTCAGCCCGCAGAGCTCATACTCGCATGCCGTACTGACGTTTCATGTATTGAGCAAGAGCCTGGTAGACAGTCATGCTCTCGTCCATCATTCTCGATTTAATTTTGTGGATTTGGCCGGGATTCAGCGACCCGCCCCGCTGGCAGACGAGGCTGCGAGGCAAGAGGCAAAGATCATCAATCGCTCCATTATGCATGTTTGAACAGGTCGTCCTGGCACTCTCTGGCCCTCAGCCTCGCCACGTGCCGTACCGCCAAAGCAAACTTACCATGTTGCTGAAGGACTCTATTGGTGGCACCAGCAGAACGACCCTCATTGCAAACATATGGCCCGAGGATCGTCATAAGGAGTTGACCTTAGCAACGTTAAACTTCGCCAAGCGTCTGGTGAGGATTGAGTCACATCCCGCTGTGAACACCTCCACGGACCCAGAGGCACAAATCAGGATGCTCCGGAGGCAGGTGACCAGCCTAAAGTCCGAGTTACGTATGCAGGATCAACTGGCTGGTCGTGAGGCGGTCCCTACCGCGCCCCTGGAAGCCGATGAAATCCAAAATGCGCGGGAGCTGGTCATGGCTTTTGTTTCTGGCGCAACACCACAGGTGCGTGTGGGTTCTGTGCGGGAGATGCATGCCTGTTTTCTGGTCTTCAAGATCCTTTTGGGCGAGTGTGAGGCACAGCTGAGAGAGTCGCAGGTGCAGCGGGAATTATTGCCTCGCCAGGGTAGTGCCACCAGTATGAAGAGCGTGAAGCGAAAAGGGGGTTTGAGGCAGCACGGCTCCTCCGAGTACAAGGAAAATACCAGGTACGTGAGCAGTGTCGAGGATGCTGCGGCGGGTGTGGGCGTGGGCACGATAGAGCGACTAAGCCCTGTCATTCGGGAAGTGTTTTTTCAGCGGCAGCGCAGCTGCTCGAACGCCGGTCCGACGGGTCTGTTGGGGGCGAGGGAGATGAGCAGCGATGGGCACACCCCGGGCCACACACCCACGCCTCCAGTCGCCACAAACACCACTGCCCCCAACAACATTACGGCAGCTGGAGCCGCTGCTTCTACATTCCCTACTGCCGGGCCCACCACCCGTGCTAAGGCGGCTGCATTGTCGCTCCCAGATGGCGAGAAGATGAAAATACAGGCCCATTCAAAACGTCATTCCTCCTCTCCCCCGACTGAAAAACCAAAAACCAGCCTTCCACCTCTTGAGTGCGAAAAAGCCACAACGACTGTGTCCTCTTCCAGGTTTTTGGGAAGGCAGGATAACGCGTTTCGTGACAGACGAACGGCATTTGAGGCATATAAGCGCACAAGCGGGGGAGTTTGCCAGTTGGAGGCCATAGAGAATGCTCGCAAACTTGTTGCAGAGAAGAAAGAAAACATATTACAGCTCCAAAAACGAGTGAACGAGATTAAGTTAAGCATGGAGGAAAGTAAGAAGTCTGAAGGGTCTCAAACCCCCGCCATGGAAGAAAATGCGATTGCAAGGCATGCGTCCGTAGATGCGACACACTCATCCTACGCGTTATTTGAGGGAAGTCACAGCGCGACTGAGAATAATGTGAATTTTTCCGAGTGTTTTTCTACGTCACCCGTGGAAAACCTCCCTCACATGACGTTAGCAGAGCGGAAGGCTTTTTTGAACCTTTCAAATAATGCTCTGACGAGGGCCATGATGGAAAGTGGAGTTCTTGAGAGGCGGTTCAACCGGCTATGTGATGCATTTATGAGCAACTTTCAGTTCTGGCACCAATCCCAGCTCCAGCCGCAGTTTCTGACGCCAGGGGAGGGAGCGGCGGCAGAAACAACTAATTTGAACGCCAATTATTCCTCGAGGGAAAATAACTCTTTTCAGATCAGCATTCCACGCGTCATGGCAAAGGGGGAGGGTGAGACGCGGTTTGTGGACGCTGCGGAGCGCCTGGAGACTCAGAACATGCAGCAGCAGCAGCAGGAGCAGCAGGCTCTAGAAAGCGCGGCATTCTACGCCGCAAAGAGACTTGCGAGAAGGGGGTTTCAGTTGCGTGAGTAAAAACGTGAATATACTCGCATGCGGACGGAAGAGCAAAAGCGAGATAGAGAGGGAAAAAAAAAAAAAAAAAAATAAGAAGAGAGAGAGATGGGGTGAAAAACAAAGACAAAAGAGGGTTGAGGGAAAAAGAAGAAACATATATGGAAGGAAACAGGAGGAATGTAAAAGAAAAAAAAGGGGAGGGGGAAAGGAAATGTAAAGCAGTAAGACCAAACACTGAAGGAATTGAAAAGTGTAAAAGCAGGTGCCTATGGAGGGGAGGGGGGGAAATGAAGTTTCGTCTCGAGACCGGTTATGTACAGTTGTACGTTTATTCACCCACCCACTGACTCCCCACCAGTAAAAAGTATGACAAAAGAGGGACGAGGGATGCAAGGAGCGTGTGTGGCATAGTGAAGAATTGGGCTTCAATCATCACCCGCTCAGGATTTTTTAAAACTAAAACAGAATGGCAGTATATGGCCAACTAACCACGTACCTTTGTGTCAAGTTCCCTGTGTCTATGCGTGCATGCTGGTGTTGCACCGGATGTCCTTCAAGGGGGAAAAGGACGTTGAAACCCCACCCCCCCCCTTCTTTTTTTTTTTTTTTACCGCCGCTGCTGCTGATTCTTTTGCTTTTTTTTTACTTGTTTTGCGCCCCTGGGGGTGGATGCGAAAGAAGAATAGGGAAGGGGGAGCTGCGACGGCCTAGACAGCAAGGCAGGCATACGTGTTAGCACAGGGGGTGAAGCGAGGGAGGAGGTCCCACTCTATTTTTTTTTTTTTTTTTTTGCCTGTACTTTTGCCAAAGGGAACCACACGGAGGGAGCAAGTGATGAACGTTATCCCGGCACTAGCGAAGGAGGTTGTCAGACGGTTAATGAAGCGCACCGATGAGGCCGCTGCGCAGAGGGTCACGGAGGATCTTGCAGCCTTTGTGGTGCGGCTCTCACTCTTTGATTCGCCACACATTGATGAGAAGGGCAACGTTGCGGAGACACCGGAAGGGATTGAGGCGATGGCAGAAGAAATTTCAAAGTATTTTGTCAAGTGCTCGCCGCATGTGTTGGCGACTCTGTCTCTGCAGTGCCAAACGGCCGGGCTACGCGGTAGCTTCACGAATAAACGCCGCAATGAACAAGTGAAGCAGGAGGCAATCACATTACGTCTGCTGGGCTCACTCTGTGAGAACTCAACAAGTCAGCCGGAGGAAATGCTTAGCGAGATTGCCTTTTTTATCCTTCATCGCCACCGCCAGCTGAATGCTGCCCAAGGGAACGCGGAGTCGCGGAAGGAAACTGTGGCAGTTCTTAACGCAGTCCTGCCGCGGTCACAAGTGCGTTCTTTTGCAAACCAACCGGCGGAGGAAAAGAGGCGGCAGTTGGAGGAACTGCACCGCATCGTATGGGGGATCCGTCTGTACAACAAGGCGGAGGGACGAACCGCGGGTGCCGGCCTCCTGTCGCTTCATGAAACCGCAGAACATCTAATGACTCAGTTGGATAGCTGCATTTCGCAAGAAATCCATGCCGCCGCAGCTGTTTGCTCGGATTATGTGAAGTTTTTCCACTCCCCATCGTCACCTCTTGGCAGCCCGGAGAAACAGGCGTTTCGTGAGGAGTACCATCGTCAACTGCAGTTTCTTCTGAACCTGCGCACAGCGAAAGAGCGGCTGGATCTGCTCTCGGCTCGAATCCGCACAAACTTACTCCCCGCGTATGAAAAAACGCTTGTGGAAGTGAAGGCGGCGCTTGGGGTGGGGGCGATGCGTTCCGACGGCGTCACACTGCGAAGTAGTGTGCCGAAGCGCGTAGCCTATCCAAAATTTATTGCCCTTGCAGAGGCATACGAGGATGTGGAGCAGAGTTTTGAGGGATTTGAGGAAATACAGGCCCTCGTGGATGTTTCCATTTCTATTGGAAAAATATCAAAGACGTCGTTGCCGCCAACGCTCCTGGAAGAAGCCCTGGCGAAATCGAAGAGTGAAAAGGCTGCCGATTGTGCTGCCATTGCAGCTTACGTTGCCACACGTACCGAATCATGCCCTTTATTTTATGCAAAGGATGCTAGCGAGCTGAAGCAACACGCGTCTTTGCGTGCGATGAACGGATTATGTCCTGTGAGTTTCGTTGAAGACGGCATTTGCGTGGAGGGGCGAACGAGCGAGGAGGACAGTGCGTGCGCTGGCTTTGTTGTTCGTCCGGCACCGGCGGGCAGCCTGGGCGAATGGTACGCCTTTTGCTCCGAATACGCATTGCGGCGTTTTGTAGCGTTACCGTTTTGGTTCATTGAGGCTGTGAAACGGATGGTACGGGAGGATTTTGTGCTTATCAGCCTGCTCGACTTTCTCGATCGTCTTCCGCACGAGTTGTATATCAAAGGGACACGCAAGTACGAGGCACGCGAGGGTCTTGTCGCAGCGGAGGCGCGCCAAGACGTCTGCACACAAACAGGGCAGATTGACCCTTACATGGACCACAATTACCGCTGGAACGAGTGGGACCTGCGGCGCCAGGCACTGAAGCTTGTGAATCTCTTTGACATGCGTACACACTCGACCCAAACGATTGCGTCTCATTTTCGCCGTGATAACACGACGCAAATCCGGCCTCCTCGGGATGACGAGACGCAGACCATGCAGGACGCTGCAGTGCAGCCACCACGCACGGTGCAGTACCTTAAAGGGCTGCGGGGTACCAAAACTTCCGCGATAGAAACCGTCCAGCGAACCTTTCTGTACTAACGGGCGGAAGGATGCGCGTCACTCTCATTCTCTCTCTTCCTCTCTTTTCCCGTGTTTTTCTGTGCGAGCATGCGAGAGTAACTGAGCATTAAAAAGACAAAACACAAAACAAAACAAAAGGAGAAAGGAGGAGGGGGATCCGGGGGTGGGGTGGCATTGGACTCACATGTGAATTGAAACAATTATGTACGGTAGACACCAGAGTGGGATGGAAGAACAAAAACAGGGGGAGAAAAAAAGAGGAAAACGCAGGAGGGGTTAGGAATGGGAAGGACAGCTGCTGTCCTTGTCGTTGCACTTTTATTGGCATTTCTTTTTTTTTTTTTTTTTTTAACGCAAACTAGAGGAAAATAAACAACGAAAAACAAGAACATTAATAATATCGTACCACCGCAAATCATGGCAGGTAAAAGCTTGGAGGATCGGCTTGTGGAGCGCTTCATGCGTTACTCCGCCATCTCCAGTCAGAGCAACCCGGCGAATGTCGGAAAGTGCCTCCCGACGTCTCCTGGGCAGCAGGAACTCGCTGAGCTTCTTGCCGCGGAGCTGCGTGCCAGCGGTCTGGAGGACGTTGTGTGCGACGACCACGCGACGGTGACGGCAGTCAAACGGGGGCGCAGGAAGGATTGCCCGACCATCGGCTTTATTGTCCACCTTGACACGGTTGACGTTGGCCTCAGTCCTGTTGTGAAGGCTCAGAAGCTGCGCTACGAGGGCGGAGATATTTGTCTCAACAAGGAGCAGGACATTTGGCTGCGTGTGGCGGAACACCCCGAGATTGAACGGTACGTGGGCGAAAACATATTGTTCAGCGATGGCACGAGTGTTCTTGGCGCGGATGACAAGGCGGCCGTGACGACCGTGATGGAGATGATCACAAGCCTGCAGCCAGATGAAGAGCATGGAGACATCATTGTCTGTTGCGTCCCTGATGAGGAGGTTGGCCTTCTCGGTGCCAAGAATCTTGACATTAAGTCCCGCTTCAATGTTGACTTTGCCTACACACTTGACTGCTGTGAGCTGGGCGAGGTGTTGTACGAGAACTTTAACGCTGCCAAGACTACCATCACGTTTACGGGTGTCACGGCGCATCCCATGACGGCGAAGGGGGTTCTGGTGAATCCGTTGTTGATGGCCGTTGACTTCATTTCACGGTTTGACCGCAAAGAAACCCCGGAGTGCACGGAGGGTAAGGAAGGCTACCAATGGTTAGCCGAAATGACCGCAACTCAGAACGAGGCCGTCCTTCACGCGATGATTCGTGAGTTTGATTTGAATAAGTTTAAGGAGCGCAAGCAGAAAATGATTGAGGTGGCCAACGAGATTCAGCAGCTGCACCCCACCGGCCGTGTGCAGGTACACACGGAGGATGTGTACCGTAACATTTCCGACTTTTTGGGCGAGGACCGCACGGCGCTCGATATTATTTTTGAGGCATTGAGCATTTTGGGCGTGGAGCCGAAAGTGATAGCGATGCGTGGCGGAACCGACGGGGCGGTACTCTCCTCGAAGGGCATCGTGACGCCAAATTACTTCACCGGTGCGCACAACTTCCACTCGAAGTTTGAGTTTTTGCCTCTCTCGTCACTTGCCAAGTCGTATGAATTGACGCGGCAAATTGTTTTTCTGGCGGCCAAACGCGTGAAGCCAAGACTGTGACGTGTGGGGGGGGGGATGAATAGAAATGCGTGTGGTGTAGTTTTGTTACCGCCACCGCCTCTCTTTCAATGCCACCATATATATATATATATATCCATACATGTATGCTTGCCCTTAGAGGGCATTGAAAACGCACAATAAAGAAGAAAGAAAAAAAAAGAAAACAAAAAACAAACGAGGGGTAATTCTCTTTTATTATTATTATCATCATTTTTTTCTTTTTTTTTATATATTTATTTTGGCGGGTAGGAGGGGGAAATGGGCTTTTGTTTGTCTTTTTATTTTTTATTGGGGTTTTTGTTTGAAATCGTCCATTGCACTTATGAGTAAAAGCCATGCCCTTTTACGTTTTCATTGTCGGGCGACACGGCGGCCGTGCGCTGTTGTACTCCCAAACATCTTCACCGCCGTCCGCCTCCCTTTTTTTTTTTTTTTTAAGTTGTGCTGCAAGACGGGAGAATATCAAACAAAATTTTTTTTTTTTTTTTTTTTTTTTGCCTTTCTGTCAGGCTACCGCGATGTGGTTTGCCCCGCCCCGTACCTCCTGCTGCCTGACGAATTCCACCGCCTCTTTTATTGAGGGAATAATCGTTTATTATTGTTATTATTTTTGCGTGTTTGTGTTAATTGTCTCTCGCCTATTTACCCTACGCGGCCGTCTTTTTTGTGGCAGTACAAGGGGGGTGGTGGTGCGCGGCGAGCTTCTTAAAAGGAGGAGGGAATCCTTTTCTTTCTTACTGTGTGTGTCTCTGCGGCAGCCTGCAGCCCTAAGCCGCACTGCAAAGAGGAATTAACCGTCGCAAGGGCGAGAAAACAAGAAACGAAGTCAAAGAAGGAACTAAAGAAGACGAAGATAACAGAGAGTAGAGCGAGAAATGACCGAGGCACCGGTCTCACTGCAGTCACTAACGCCCCTTGACGTGAAGCAGCTTTCAAGGGATCAAAAGCGTCAGCTCCTACGGCAGCACCGCGAGAACCCATCACGCAGCGCGAACGTTGTTCTCTTGCTAGGGACGGATCTTCTTGCTGGCGGCACTGGAGGCATCGGCTCCGCGGAACTGTCATGCATTTACGAGCAGATTCTTATTGCGGCGCTGGACTGTGGCAGAGTTGACATGGCGCGGCAATATCTTTCAGTCCTGTATAAATGGTTTGGGAAGCAATCGGTGCGGGTGCGTCATCTTGAAGGGTTGTGTCTGGAGGCGGAGGGGAAGTCGGTGGAGGCGGAGCGTTTGTACCGCGCCATTCTGAAGGAGCATCCGACGGATCAGTTCGCCGTCTTGCGTCTTTCCGCCATGTTAAAAAGTGAGGGGAAGTACCAGAAGGCCATTGAATTATTAGAAAAGCAGCAGGTGTACACCGATGAGAATGGTGAGAAGCACACATTTCTTGAGGTACACCGCGGCGACAGTCTCTCCGTCTACCGTGAGTTGTCAAACCTCTACTACCTCTGCGAGGACTATCACATGGCTCTTCATTACGCCGATGAGGCAATGCTGTTCAACAGCAACGAATATCTTTCTCACACACGTCTGGCGGAGCTGTACTACATTGTAGGCGACTACAAACGCTGCCTTGTTGAGTACGCACAGTCATTGCGTCTCAATGGCCACGCGAACAACTGCCGGGCCGCTTATGGCCTCTGGCTTACGGCCAACGAAGTCGTGCGGCAGGCGAAGGCGGCTCCGAAGTCGTCGGATGGAGAGCAGACGAAAGACGAAGCGGTAGAACTGCGGGCGTGGGCAGAAAAGAAGCTGTTGGAGATATACAAGGGCAGTCCGACGCTTTCGGCTGTGGAGGCCATGCTGCAGCGTGTGGCGTGAGTGGGGCCACACACGCAGACAAGAAGAGAGAGGAGAGCAGAAAAAAAAAAAAGAAAAACATATGCAAAAAAAAAAAAATAATAATAATGAAATGGCGCCTTAAGACACAGAGTGGAGGGGGTGTGACGGCGGGGGACACAATTGAGTTGCGGACGGGTTTGTTGCTGACTGGGGCGAACTGCGAGGGTGCATGCAGATGTCTGGGGACGACTGAGAAAAAAAAAAAGGAGGAGGAGCACTCTGCCTTGCCTCGTTTGCTCCTGTTCCTGGCACGATCCATGGAGTTCACTGTTGGTAAAATAACGTAGGAGCGACGAAGCAACAACAACAAAAATAATAATAAAAGGACGGCAATGGACCGGAACGTTTGAAAGAATTGGACATGACCAACATAAAAAAACAAACAAACAAACAAAAACAAAGAAGAGAGAAGGAAGACGGGAGAAATCAGCAAGAGAAAAAAATAAGGAGCTCACACACATTCACGCACACGAAGAGGGCTGATGACGGTGGTGGAGGGGGGAAAGTGATAAATTTAAAAGAGGATTCCGAATGATAGACAGAAGTGGGAGTGGGACTTTTTAAAAGGAGAAAAAGATGTCTCTTCCCTGATCCTCAGCAGAAACACTTTTTTGATCCCGCCGTGGTTTGCTTTTTTTTTTTTTTTTTTTAAAGCAGGAGCAAATAATAGGAGCAACAATGGTAATAGTAATGCTTGGGGACTCGATGTGTACAATTGCCGCGATGTGTCATTTCAACATTGCTGTGCCTTATTGGAGGGCATGGTCTGTGTGTGTGTGTGTGTGTGTGTGTGTGTGTGTGTGTGTGTGTGTGTGTTTGTGGTTTTTTTTTCTTTCTCAATAAATAATTTAATCAAAATATTTATTTTTTAATGTTAAAAGTCTTTTTTTTTTTTTGACTTTCTTTTTTTATGTTGCGGCAGCAGTAGACCGTGGGGGACGACGGTGCATAGATAGACTATTCCCCAGGAGACCCGAGAGAGGGATTATCAAGGGGGCTGCCGACAGAAGTGCTGCTGGACTGCCACCCTCCTGTTTTTTTGCGATGAGTGGGGGCAGTGCGTCGGCCAGTGAAGCGTACATTAGACCGTCTCCCACGCCGGCGCCCTCCGTCAATTTTACATCTGGCGATACTCCACCCACTCCGACAAGATCGACTCCGGCGGCAGCAGCAGCTGCTAATTTTACAGCCCGGGCTGCGTCGAAAAATGGCCGCGGGGAGGAGCGGAAGGCGGTGGCGGCGGCTGTTGCAGCAGATGTGCGCGGGACGGTGGAATACCGCGCGGCGTGGGACGTGGAGCTCTGGAAGGCCATTCAGGCCGCGCGGCTACGGCGGCAGTTAGAGGAGCAGAAAAAGAGGGCTCTTGCGGCACTTGCCAAATTTGTCAAATTGAGGGAGCAACAGGCCACTGAGAGATGCGAGCTCCGGGAGCGAGAGATTGGACGCAGGGAGCAGCGTTTGGTGGAGGAGGAGAAGCAGATGGAGAAGCGAAAGTGGCGGCTGGCGGAAATGGAGAAGGACATGCAACACATGCGTCAGCAGTTGGCGGACGCTCGGCGGCGTGCGGAGGCAGAGGCGCAGGCGGAGGTGAAGCGGGCAAAGGAAGACACCGCACACGCGGTGGCGCTGCAGGAACAACGTATACAGGCAGCAGAGGCACAAACAAAACGCGCGGAGGAGCGGTTGCAGCAGGCGCAGCGCGATTACTTGGCGCTCTCAGAGGAGTTCCATCGATTTCGCACGCGGGAACTCGCGGGGCCTTCTGAGAAGGCGACCAGCGTCGAGACTCGGTTGCGGAGGGAGTTTGCGGTGGAGCAGCAGGCGCTACAGGACCGTCTTGAGCGGCGACACATGGAGCGTGAAGAGCAGCTGACACGGCGCTGCCGTGAGCTTGAAGAGGAAAACAAGCGCCTTACGGCGTTGGCAACCAAACGCAAGGAGCAAATGCGACGCACCGCCGAGGAAGTGGAACAGCTCATTTCGGCGAAAAAAACACTAGAGCAGAGGCTGCGGCGAAAATCGGCGATAGACGCCACTGCAGACATCACAGACACAGTAAAAAAGAAGAAAGATTTGGCGGTGGGCGACGTGATTTCGAAGGTGTCGGCTGCCGATGTCGCACCGGTGGCAAAAGAAATAGAGCGTCTGCGTTCTGAGCGTCGTATTATCCTGGAGGGGAGTGCGGGTGCGCTGGATCAGGACAGCGACGTGGTCCGCTGCCTGGACGCGAGGATTAACGAACTGCTTGAGCGTCTTCAGAGTCGGGGCTACGCGTTGCAGCCGGTGACAGATTGAGGGTGCTGCGGCCATTTCTAGTTTCGGCACCGTAGAGAAAACAATTTTTGTTTTATTTTTTATTTAAAATTTTTTTTTTTTTGTCTGTCTGCCTGTTGTTCCGGTTGTTGTTTTATTATTATTATTTTTTTCTTATTTGCGTTGCTTCTCCCTTTCTTTCTTTTTTTCTTTTTCTCTTTTCTTGTTTCTGCCTCTGTGCGTGCCTGTGTGGGGTATTGGTGGTGGTGGGCAGGGGGGCCAGAGCCGTGGCAGCAGAGCAGCGTCAATGCCCTCCACGACGTCGCATCCCCCGTTTAAGTCTGCCGCGATTCGTCGCGGTGTTTTGGGAGACTTCGAAAAGACTGCGAAGGGCGACAGGCAAAATATCGACGGCGGTGACGAGCGACGGCCTTTCATCTCGATTGCGCAGCCGTCCGCAGCGCCAGCGTTGGCACCTCAGCGAGGTAAAGAGTGGCGTGCGTACCCCAAAGTACCTTTTTACGCCGTTATGCAGGGTCTGCAGCTGGTGATCAACGTGGCAGGGCCCGAAGAGGACGCGGGTGATGGTTTGAATGATGCCGGCCTTTTAAGGGGCCTTTCGATGCTGCAGGAGATGTTACAAGCATCCGCCACAAAGTACGGCGGTGTGTACTATATAAGTGCTCTGCCGGCAAGCCGCAACACTCTTCTTTATCCTGCGCACGCTACCCGTTCTCATACCGGCGCATCTGCTCTTTCTTCAGTCGCCACAACTGCCGAGTTGGACTACTGGAAGTATCTTCAAGCCTTACAAGATGTCTTTTACCGCTTTGCTGAGCTGCGTGATCTCTGTTGCACCGGATTTTCAAAAGAGCACTGCACGCATCACGTTTTCTTTTTACGCATCACAGAACACCCTCGATTGAAGGATCTCATGGCGATGCTGGCCATTGAAAATTCTCGTCTGTGCTTCTGCCTGTGCGCTTCTTCAAGGGTGACACAACAATATTTTACGCAGCGTGCGCAGGATGTGGGGGTGGAACTGGAGTGGGTGTTGGGTTCCACGTTGGTGACGGAGCCAGAGAGGCTGGCGATGACGGAAGTCAACCCCGTCTTTGCACTTTGGGACGTGTTTGTGAATCTTCCGCTTCACACCACTTTTGCCGCGCAGGAGGCGAGTGGTGCGGCAGCGATGACGTTATCTCCTGACGGGGTCACCGCTGAACGCTTCTTGCAGAACATAAATGTAACACTTGTGTCCTCACTACGTTTTGCCGGAAGCGAGTGGAGTTCCCATACTGTGCGGCTGTGCGAGGTGGGGCAGCTTTCTGAGTCTGGTCGACGGCGACTTGTGTGGTCATTGATGGCAACCCCATGTGTCGTGCTGCCACAGCTTGTGTCGGGTCTTGTGCGATGTCTCGTGGAGGAAAGCCCAGTCGATTACTTTGAGATGCGCTTTACACATGACATGGCCACGGCTACCGGGAGGGAAGGAGCGGAGAACGCAGGCCGTGGTGTCGCATATGTGACGGGGGCTCGCCGCGGGGTGGTGCAGCGCAAGAGTGCTTCCTCCACCAGCAACAACAACTTTTTTGCGTTTAGCCGGCTCAGCGCGGAGGCGTGGCTTTCAGATGATGACCGCCGTTACTACGGCCTTTTTCTCAAGGATGACCCGGTGCCGTTGGAATGCGAGTTCACTGTGGAGTCACTGCGGTATCGCCGGCAGGCGGGCCAAAACGAGCCCACTACGGGCGATGACGTGTTCCACCCGCAGTGCTGGGGCTGCGGCTTTCAGATGGAGAACCACGTGGAGCGTATATTGGTTGACGACGAGGAGTGAGCGGGTGGCGGTCATTGCTGGGGGGGTGGGGTGGATGGGAGTTTTAGTGAACAAGAGGAGAAACGGTTGGGACGAAAAAGAAGGAAATGAGATGATGTGGCGTTTTATCTGGCTTTATAAGGGGACAGTTTATGCGAACTTTTTTTTTTTTTGATTTTTTTTTTAGGTGTTGATTTTATGGCAGTGATGTTCTCTGCCTTTTTTATATGCCCCCGCCGTACCAACACGGTGCCGGCGGCATTCATGACGCATGTGCCATTTTTGCTGCTGCTTTGGTTTCTCTGCGGTGCCCCGCTTCTTGCTGTGGCCCGGACGCACATTATTATGGACGTTGATGGCTCCGTGGACGACTATGCCTCGCTCACAACGATCATGCAGAGCCCGCACCTCCGCAGCCAACTGAGCCTCATTACTATCTCTGGGATGACGTGGGGCCACGCTGCGACTGTGGCACGCAACATTTGCCGATTTTTCTTGCTTTCGCAGCTGAAGGGTGTTACCGTGTCGATAGGAGCGTTGCAAGCAACAGCAGATGATTACAACACGGTGCTGTCTCGTGGTGGATGCCGTCACAGCCAAGGGTTTCCCTCCACTCCGCATGATGCGCTGCGCCGTGGGATGCCGTACTCCCGTGCAGATGTCACAAGCTCTTTTGGCGCGGCGTACAGTTTTCCACCAAATTCATTTGACGTGAGGGTGAATGCTTCGGAAGCGCTTCACGCCCTCCTGAACGGCATGTCTGTTGACGATAGCGTGAAATATTTTGCGTTTGCCAGTTTAACCAACTTGGCATCGGCGCTGAACTATTTGGAGCGCCACGACCCGGATCGTCTGCAGCGATTTAAGCAGTCCGCAGTGGTGCACATCTTCGAAAAGGGATATAGCCTTGCGGTAGATAATGTGTCCACATCTCAGGTGTTGGCAGAACCCGAGCTGCGTTTTGTTCTGTACATGCCATCCTTTTATGATCCGGCGGCAGCCTTTTCGTTTAGCTCGTGGAGTGAGTTTGGCAACCTGGCGAAGGATGCAGGTGCATCCAAAGCAGTTGCATGGCTTTTCAGCGCATGGGAAGCAAAAAAAGCTCTCGTTGAATCCCGCAGCGACGACCCACTTAAGGCATTTTTTAAGGAACGTGGCCCAGCGAGCAGTCTGGTGACACTTTGCGCTCTTGACGCCACTGTGCGAGCCAGCTGCACTCTCTACCACGCTGCGTTGTCCAGCGTGTCTCTTCATTTGGAGCAACCCACAGTGTCTGCGCCTGGCACTGCGATGTACGGGATTACTGGAAACAACGTGACGTGGCCGTCGTATCTGCTAACAACGGCGGGGGACACTCCTGCCGACAAAAAATTTATTGTTGTGCAGTCTGCCGACAGCTTGGTGCCGTCCGCCACCGCCTCATTGGCGTCCATCTTCTGGTCTGTGTGGTTGGACCTTCTTCGCTCTTAGACGGGTGACAAAAAAAAAAAAATGCCAACTCCAATGCGGAAGAATTTATTATTATTATTATTTTTGTGTCTGCCAGAAGGGCGGTGATGATACTGGGTGTGTGTATGTATGTATGTATGTGTGTTGTGTACTTGTGTGCATGCCTTGTTGCCGCCGTCTTTTTTGCATTATTATTACTATTACTATTATTCTTGTGGAAGTAGGGGAAAAGTAATTCACACTGTGGCTGGAGCAAAAGAAAAGAAAAAGGGGAAAAAAGAATAAACAAAAGATAAATTGTTACCAGCAGCAACAGGGTGGGAAGAAAAAGGGGGGAGCCTCACGTACACGTGCACGGACATTGTATTGCATTGCAGCAGAAGGCGTTTTTTTCATTCATGGGCGCCTGGATCTCTCAGCTAAAGGCCGCGTTGGGCTTTTTACCAGCTGACAAAAAAATCCGTGTACTTATTTTAGGCCTCGACAATGCGGGGAAGACGTCTATTTTGTACCGTCTGCAGTTGGGCAATGTCGTGTCCACCGTTCCTACAGTGGGGTTTAACCTGGAGACGATGAATTACAAGAACATATCGTTTGAGGTGTGGGATTTGGGCGGCCAGGCGAACATTCGGCCTTTTTGGCGCTGTTACTTCACTGACACGGATGCCATTATTTACGTTGTGGATAGTAGTGACAAGGATCGCATGGGGGTCGCTAAGCACGAGTTGTACAACCTTCTAGACGAGGACGAGCTGCGAGAAAGTCTACTGCTTATATTTGCCAACAAGCAGGACACGATGGGTGCGGCGAGCGAAACTGAGGTTGCGCAGCTGCTCGGGGTCGCATCTTTGACGAATCGCACCTGGACAATTGTGAGGAGCAGCGCAAAGACCGGTGAGGGACTCATTGAGGGGATGGATTGGCTCTGTGACAAGCTTCGCGAGCGAGGCACCGTCAGCAGCACCTTGTAGCTGTTGTTACTCATTGAATGTGATGTAATTAGCAGCAATGATGGTGATGTATGCAGCCGTGTTTTTCCCTTTTTTTTTTCTTTTTCTTCTGTTTCCTTTTGATTGTGTTTGTGTTTCTCCGAGCTTAATTTGTCTGTGCATGTGTGGCGGAGTGGGTGGGGGATGCCTGCATTTCTGTACCTCACACAAAATGATGATCCCTTCTTCCCTGTTGTTGTTGTCGTTGTTTTTTGTTCTTTCTCTTCTGTCAGAAACTCTTCTGTATTTTATTTTATTTTATTTTTTGTTGTTGTTGAATTTATTATGCACGTAAACCTCCATTGTTAACGGTGGCCCTGAAGACTGACGGTGGTGGATGCAGTTGTTTTTGGGTGCATTTCCTTTTTTTTTTCCTTTTTTTCTCCGTGTGTGTGTGTGTGTGTGTCTCCTCCTTCTCTTCCTGCGAGTGCCTATTTAAGAATCGACTGAGCCGTGTCCGAAGGCGGTTGACTGAATTGAGAGGGCCTAGACAGAGGGAGACCCCCTCCAAACAACAAAAACAAAAAAAAAACAAAAAACAAAAACGAAAACAACAACAACAACAAGAAAAAAGGAATATAAAAAGGGGGTTTTCTTTTATATACATACATATATACATAAATACAATTTTTAGGGAGGAAATTGTTCAAATGGACTTCCAGGCACTACAGTCAACTTTGACGGAGGTATGTAAAGGCACCTCTTTGAAGAGGGGTGTTTCTTTTGATCAACGGTACGAGCTTGAGGCGGAGATTGGAAAGGGGGCTTACGGAACTGTCTGGAGGTGTCACCGTCGGTTTGATTCTATGAGACGTCCATATGGGGTGAAAATTATCAACAAGAAAAAGGCGGGGGCCAAAGGACTGAAATGGGTCATGGGAGAGGTGGAGACGATGAGTCTATTGATACACCCAAACATTGTACGGCTTGAAGAGACGTTTCAAGACGAGGAGAATTTGTGGATTGTAATGGAGTACATGCCGGGTGGAGAGTTGCGGAGTGCCGTTCTTCGAGATGGGATTTTTAGTGAGGCCCAGGCTCGTCGGATTACAACGCAGCTCCTTTTAGCTTTAGAGTTCATCCACCAAAACGGGATTGTACACCGCGACATGAAACCGGAGAATTGCCTTCTTTCCGAGGGCGATTTGGTATGTAAAATATCTGATTTTGGGTTTTCTGTTCTTGTAGGCTCGGACCAGTGTCTCATGTCCTTTTGTGGCACCACCGTCTTTATGGCGCCCGAGATATTTGGCGACACAAGCTACGGGAAGCCTGTTGATATGTGGGCAATAGGTGTGATGGTGTATTTTATGGTCACTGGGACGTATCCATTTACTGGACGATCGCATAGGGAGCTAACGGACGCAATTTGTGGCGGGCGTTGCAACCTCAAGAGTGGCAGGATTGCCGAGGGGTCCGCGTCTTTGCGTGATTTTATCTCCATGCTGCTCGTGGTAGACCCAAACCGCCGTCTTAGTGCCCGTGAGGCGTTGAAGCATCCATGGATTAAACTGGGCATGAACATGGGGAATTCTATCCGAGACGAGACGGAATTGAAAAGACATGGATTGAGGCCTCGGAGTATTTTTCGAGCTGCCATCATTGCTCTTATGGCAGCGCACCGCCTGTGTTATCTTCGTTATTGTCGTATGCTGGAGAATAATTTTTGTAGTGCTTTTACAATCTTGCGAAATTTCCGTTTCGCGGTGTCCGGGGCGTATGAGCCGCCAAGTCCAACTCTCGACTGCAGCGGTGTCTTTGCGAGGCACCCGCGAGGGGTGAGATTTCTGTTGCCTATGCTGGAAGTCAGTCGCACCATTGAGGCACTGGACCTGAGCAGCAACAACATCGATAACCTTACCTTATTCCAGCAGCTAGCGAAGACAGTCGGTCAGCATCCAACGCTGGTCTCGCTGAACTTGTCGTTCAATCCCATTCCTTTGCTTGCTAGTCGCGGCCTCCTTCGGCTTGCACGGAGCCCGCAGTCAAAGTTGCTTCACTTGGGGCTGGACGGCACCCTTCTCCCGTCCGAAACCATCGCGCAGATCTCCGCCGCCCTCAAGGAGAAGGCCGTCGTATCCTCCGCCGCCGCTTTTACCCCGCAGTTGACACCCGCAACGCGCTCATTGGAGATTTCAACCTCCTTGAGCCGGAACAACCTTTCCGTTTCAAGCCCACGGCAGCGTTTTGTCGTGCCTCATTCACCGTTCACCCGTCAGCCGGTCCGGAAGACAACAGAGCCACGACTTCCGCCCCTTTCTAACACGAGGCGCCGCGCGGGAAAGTAAACGAGAAACGCCTCCTGTTTTTTTTTTTTTCTCCTTTTTCTTTTTTACTCCCAATGAAAACTCTCCTGCAGAATGTATTTTCTCGCGGCTTTTTTTTCGACGTGGCTCCCATTGCCGCTGGGGAGGTCAGCAAGAATAGGAGCAAAGAGGAGAATGAACGGAATAAAATGTGCGTTTGCTTGTGTGACTTAAGAAAAGTATGTCAGTGTTCACACAAGAGACAAGGAAAGAAAGGGGAATAACGGGGAAGATTTAAAAAAAAAAAAAAATAAAAAAGTGTGGAAGTTTGGGGTTTCTGGACGGAAGTAGAAGACGCACGCAGTTTAAGTTTTTTATTTTTATTTTTATTTTATTAATTTTATTATTATTATTATTATTTTTTTTTAAACAACAACAAAAAAGAGATGAAACGGACGGCATACCGTTTCTGTGACGGAATCAACGGCGTAGATTTGTAAAACACACACAAACACACACAACATCATGTTACTTCTTTTTCTTTCTTTTTTTTTTTTCTTTACGACTTCATGGGGCGGGGTGAGAAGTCCCTTTTTTCACCTCTTTGTAAAAAAAAAGAGCCAGAAGGAAAAGGCGCCCGTACATACATATATATATATATATCACAGGAGGAGATAAAAATATAAATATATATATATATTAGGACAATGGACTCATACGCCTCCACTGCGCTGGTGATTTGGGGAAGCACAGGCAGGAGGCTCCAGTTCACACGACAGGACCTCCAGATGCCTGAGAGTGTGAAGGAAAGGCCGAACCATCACTTTTTCGAGAAGCAGTGGGACTCCGTTGCCGGATTTTGGATGAATCGTGTTCTGAAGGAGGCGGCCTTGCAGCACATGACTGTGCAGGATATTGTGCAGTGCATCGTGAGCGACATTGAGAGGCGGTGGGAGCAACGGAAGAAGGAGAAGTCACTGTATAAGAAAAGAAAGCGGCTCTTGGATTCGAGCAACATTACCGCCGCTGGTGCGCCATCGCCGCATGTTCTCATCACCAACATCGTCTCTTTTGAGGCCTACCGACAGCTTGTGGCAGAAGATTCATTGCAGCAGCTCGTGACGGCGGTACTGGAAAAAGTAGAGGAAATTGCGAAGGAGAAGGTGGCACACCACGCGATTCTGGTGGATGACGATGACAAAAGCGACACCAAAAGTCCCGCCAAAGACAAGTTGAAGGAGAAGCAAGGCGAAGACGGTGATGGGACGGGTCCGGGGAAGGCGAAGAAGAGGGCACGGCATGAGGAGGACGACAGTGTTTCCTTTGACGACCATGTCGCGTTTGTGTGTACATTTTCCTCGGAGGCAAAGGCTGCCAGGGTTGTTAGTGAATTGCATGGAAGTACTTTTGACTCTCGGGCGGTGTTGTGTCGTTTTTACGCCTTGTAGTCTGTTTAAAAAATATATATTTACATGTCATGAAAGCATCACTTTTCATGTTTTTTTTTTTTTCTTTGTCGTACACACTTTGTCTGCCTGTGCGTGTGTGCTTGTGACGGATTACCCTTGTTTCTTGCTGTAAGGATGGGCTTACATGACTGTGTGGGCAGAACGAAGCAAACGCGCAGCTATGGGATGACATTAATTATATTTTTGCCTGAGGTGATGCGCTTTTTTAATTAAAACTCAGTTTAGAGGTTTTTTTTTTTTTTTTTAGCGGGTCATGCCAGCGGTGCGGGGTGGCGCGGCTCGTGTGGGGATTTTGGCCTCATGTGCGTTGACGCCGATGCGGCGTGCGACGACCGGCGAGCATCACAGTTACCGTCCTGGGCGTTTTGCTCAACTTTTTCGCCGCCTGTACGTTGCCGTTACTCCGCGTAGTCTCCATAGAAGTTTAGCAATAAACTTGCAGGCCGGCATGGAGCGTGTGCAGGAGTTGGAGAAGGAGCAGCTGTGGCTGAGGCGGCACGGCTCCCCGCTGCGGGTTATGGGGCTGCCAGAGCACGCGGAGCTGGCGGAGGTTCGCTCGCGTTACCGGGATCTTGTTTTTGCTACACACCCCGACACGGCGCAGGGGGACGCAAAGGCGCAGTATGACACGATTCAGACGGCGTACAAGATGGCCACCACACCGACAAGCTTGTGGCACCAAAACGGCTCCGCCCCTGCGCTTTACCGCAGTCTTTTGAGCACCTCGAGAGGTATCACGCGACACGTGGATCGTGTCACGTTGTTTGCTCTTTTTTCATACTTTGTGATGGGCGTCGTGGGGATTATTTTCTCCGTTGTTGTTGTGCGTCAAGCTCTCGAGTTGGCGCTGCGCTTTTTTGACCCTGAGTTTTACGAGTTTATGGTGTCGCAGGAAAAGGAGGAGGCGCGCCAGAAGCTGGCAGGACTCCCGGTGGACACCGATCCAAAGCGCCTCGCGCCGACGGTCGTGAAGCGACTTCTTTTTCCCGGCCGGTTTGTACACAAAGAAGGCACCGGCGGCGACAGGGCGGGAAAAGAGTGAGGGGAATGTTATTTGCGCCTTTTTTTTTTTTTCTCCTCGTCTTTTCGACATACACCGCCCTTTTTAAAAGTCTGCATGGTTGTCGCGTAGAAAAAAGGGTCTTGCCTTCCCTTTTTTTGTTTGTCCTTTGGATTATTATTATTATTATTATTTTTTTTGTCTTGCAATTTTTGTTTCGTCTTCGCGCAGGATTGTTTTTTTTTTGGGTGGGTGGGGGGCAGCTGGGCGGTAGTGTGTGCCCTCACAAATATACGCCCGTAATCCAAAAGGGAAAATTATTAGTTCCACCAGTTCCAATAAAACAAGCATTAGAAGAAACAGACACAAACACAGGCGCAAATAAAAGGGGGCCGCACAGGCACCAACAGCAACATCAAACACAACCGTAAGGAAGGGAGGAAGGAACGTCAACGCGTTATATTGGCAATTCATGGACCCACCTTTCAAGGAGACGCAGTTTGCATATTTTCCTAGTTCCGACTCCCTCTCATCCCCTGCGGGGCCTTTGCCCAACTCCGGGAGTTTTTCTAGCTACAGCGACACGGGGAAGGCTGGAAAGTCAGAGGATACTTTTGTGGTGGGTGAGTATCGCTTGTCTTCGTGTCCTATTTGTTTGGAGCGGTTTACACTTGACAATCCTGCGATTGTTGTCTTGTGTGGGCACGGTTTTCACCTGCAGTGTCTGGAAAGTTGGAGGCAGCGGGCGTCCATATGTCCTGTTTGTATGAAGCTCATGCAGGGTGAGGGAATTCCAATGATGTCCGCCCGTGATACGAGGCGGCGACGGCGTTACAAGGGCGTTAATAGTACTGTTACTGCTGCAGCTACTGCCCGCAGCAGCTGTGATCATCGTAGTGTGTGCATGGAGCCAGCAATGGGGGATCCCATGATGGCACCGCCCCAATGTACACCTCCCCTTGGGGAGGAGCACATTGCGAACACCAATAGGGACGGGGGCGTTGTTTGGTCCGTACTGTCCGTGCTGTGGTCTCTCTCGCGGTGGTGCTCTCGCGGCGGGGAGTGATACTGCTTTTGCATGTGTGTAAAGCCTGTGGTGATGCGAACAGAGGCAATAAAGTAAAGTAGAGGAAGTATGAGGTTAAGGAAGAAAAGAAGAATATCAAGAACAAACCAGCGATTCATCTCAGTAAATTGCCAGTATACATATTTGCAAAGGTTCTACATCATTGTCATCTTATTTCCCCTTCCCCCCTTTTTTTTTTCCGGATTTTTTTGTGTTTTTGTTTTTTTCTCTCGGCAGGGGGTGGGGGTGAGATGGGATGGGATGGGAGAGGGACACACGTAGCCTGGAGGGGGCAACTGCGCCCTCGAATAGGGGGAATAAGAATGTAATTAGATGGGGTAGAAGTAAAGACGGTGTTTCTGCTGGGTGCGGGAGCCTCATGCTCATGGACCGAGCCCAATTTGGATGTGGGAGAGGGGAGGGGAGGGGAGGGGGCGCAAATTAACAGGAAAGCTGAAATATAAAACTCGGAGAAATTCGATTTAGTTTTATTATTATTATTATTATTATTGTTTTATCTTTGGCGCATAACAGTCTTTTTTTTTTTTTAATTCTTTTCTTGTTCTCAGAACGCCAGTTGATGATCGAGGCGCCAAGGCAAAATACTTCCGAACTCATCCCCTTCCCCCAAAGCAAACATTGAGCACACGCTACCACCTCTTCTGTAATGAGTGTGAGTGCATAAATGCTCACATATATATATATATATATACTTGCATACATGCAAAGGTACATATGTACATGCATACATGTTTCTGTGTGTGTAGTCATCTCCCTTTTCATGAGCTGAGTTGGACACTTACCATTATTATATTATTATTATTATTATAATCTTCATTTATTTTTACTTTAAAAAAATTTTTTTTTGCCTTGTTATTCTCCTCTCCTTTTGTGTGTGATGGGAAAGAGAGGAGGCGTAGGTATGAGTGCTACTGAATACCAGGGTGAAGAAATTGAGAGGCCGCTGCCAGCGTGGCTGCGCGATCAGGATCACCCGGAGGCGACGGGTGATTTCTTTTTGGCCGAAGGCTCAGCAAAAATGGTCGGCTCTAAAGATGACTCAAAAGTCATGGGCAGTCGTGACACCTCGGAGGTGTTGTCTCTTATCCTCTCCGAGTTACAGAGGCAATCCTTGCGCATAAACGACGTGAAAGCAACTCTTGCACGAAACGTCGCGTACCGAACCTGCTTTGACGTGCTGACGATGAATAACGTCACGTTGGACGCCGTTTGTGAGAACCCCGTTTCTCACCTGCGAAGTACCGTGAGGTACACGGGCTTGAATTCCACAGTCACGATCAGTTTTACCTCCGGCGATGTCTCGATATTGTTAGACGACCCTGCTGATGATGTGGACTTTATGGGCGTGAGTTTCACGTCGGATTGCATCTTAAACTGCCAACTTTTTGCTGGCATAAAAGTCTGCAGTGTCGTTCTCAACATTGACACTCAAAAAATCACCGATTTGACGCAATTGACATTGGTCGCACGATCCGAGGAGGCGACAAAAGAGTTGTGCCAGGCGCTGATGACACTCTGTGGCCGTGACCCGGTGAACCCCGGCGCGCATCTGCACACACCGCCGTCGCTTCCCAGGGAAAGGCTGGCATCTGCCGCTGCGTCGGCCGTTGCATCAGACCTGTCGTCGCGATTGTCGGCGCAGTCACCAACAGAATGTAGAGTCAACAGCCGCGGTGTTACGGATGCCGTTCGCACCCCAACCATGCGTCGTTGCGAGGGGTCAAAACGCCCGTCTTTAAGTGAGCAAGTGCCTTGACCAGAGTGACTATTCAACGGCAGCAAAAAATGCCATCACTGACTTCAGAAGGAGTTTTTATTCTCTGGCGGCAGTGGGGTTGAGTGACGGTGCTGACGGGGAAGGAGGCTGCACGCAACAACAACAACTACAATGATAACACAACCGCCAAAAACAAAAACAAAAAAAAAAAAAAAAACAGACGCATAAAAAAAAAGCAAACGAGAAATCAAAAAAAAAAAAAAAAAAGAGGAAAAAAGCAAAGACGAAAGGTGATGGTTCTTATGTCATGGTGGATGAGAGGTAAAAGACGATTTTTGCTGGAAGTTGTTTTTTTTTTTAGTTTGCGGCTCTGAGGTTTTTCCTTTTGGCCTTTGAGCGGTGTCTGACACCTGAAGATTGATGTTTGCTCCTTCTCATTCTACATATATAAGTATATATATATATATATTTATGTATATTGGGTGTTGCAAAGGAAAGGGTGAAAAACAAAATAAAAAAAAACATTTTGTGTCAGTTTTCCTTTCCTTTTCTGTTTTTTATTTTTTATTTTTTGCGACCAGGATTCCTGCGCTTGGACACACTTTGTGTAATTACAGGTGGGGAACTCGACCGGATTAGCCCTTTTGTTTACTTCGTGTGAGCGTTTTCCCCCCTTGGTGCCTTTGTGAGTATTTGGCAGGTGTGCTGCGTGTCGGCGCGGGTTTGAGCTCCTCGAATTTGGCACCGACGTTCCTTCCGGAGGGTTTTGTCCTTCTCGCCGTCTGCTGTGACGGGCGGAGCCGGATGGTCATTCTCGTGTCCGAGTGCGTGGGGATCTTGGCAGGTCGCTTCTCCCCAGTTTTGGTTGCGGCAAATGTGGAGGGGTAAATTTGGATCTTTAGGGGGGACGTTGCGTCTTCCTTGGCGAAGACCGAAGGGAGGGTGATTCGTTGCCTGACAGGCCCTTTTTGCAACGCTGTTGCGAACCGCATGCTCAACACCCCGTCCTGCAGGGGGGCGAACGCCATGACAGGGGCGGCGATCACAGACCTGCCGCGTGGTATCTTGGCACTCACTTTGTCTGTTTTTAGAGAAGCGATGCATTCCGGTAAAATTGTCCGCTGCATTGCGCGACTGCATGAGCGCCCCATGAGGTGGTGGTGGTGGTGGTGACGTGGGCGGTTGGAATGTACGCTGCGACGAGGGAGCACCACGCAGGAGGAGAAACAGACTGAAGAGCACCGAGAGAATTCTCCCCCCTTACCTCCCCTCTCTTCACATATAAATATATTTTTTTTGTTTTGCTGAGATGTGATGTGTGGGCGCTGTTCTCTGCCTCTGCATGCTTCCGTTGTGAAGTGTACATCTTTCTTGTGTCTGCATGATGTTTGTCCTCTTCTTTTTTTTTTTTTACATCGTCACTTGTAGTCTTTTTCCTCTCTTTTCTCATTTCCAGGCAAAGTCCATAGGGAGTGCAGCGATCGTGCTATTTTATTTTATTTATTTTTATTTTTTTTAAGAAACGAAAACAAAATCAAAATCGACGACTTTAAAAACGTGTGAAAAAAAAAAAAACAAAAACAAAAACAAAAAAAACAATGCGTCCAAGGTACAACCGCAACGAAGCATCATGGGTGACATTTATAACGTGCTGCTTGAGTCATCTTGCGCTTCTCCCGGCCATTCGATATCTTCAAAAACGGGGAATGCATTACGAAGTCTGCGTATCGGTTTTTTCTACTTTGGTTTCTTTTCTGTATCATTCATCTGAGTCTCTCAGGACACCGCTGTTTCTTTCGACCATCCGCTGGCATCGTCTGGATAACATCGGGGCCATTTCTTCCATTACTATAGTATGCCTTCATGTGTGCTCCTTTGAATCCGAGAAACTAGTGAATTATCTCAAGTATTTTTTTCTTTTTGTTACTATCGTTCTTCAGGAAGCTGACCCTTGGAATATTTTGTACACCGCCATACCCATTTTATGTGCATTGGCCATGGTACTTGTAGCCATGTTGTTGAGCCCCATACGGCGGCGGCGTATTGCGGGAAAGAATTTATACGTAGGCATGGCGTCATCTCTGTTGGGTGTGATCTGTTTTGTCCGGGGACTTGACGAGGACAGGGACACGTACCGTGCGTGGCACGGTCTTTTCCACGTGTTGGTAGGGATGGGCATTTACAACATATTTCTTGCGCTTGGGGATTGGGGTAAAGGCTCATACAGTCGTAAAATGAGCATGACGTCTCCAAGTTTTGATGTGTGAAATGAGCGCAACCCCCCCACACACACACCCTTCCTTCTCATCTCCCTTTTTTTTTTTTTTTCCTTTTCACGGAAAGGTGACATGCTTTTTTTTTTTTTTTAAATTAGTTGTTGAAGTACTGCTTTTTTTTTTTGTTTTGGGGGGGTTTTTTTTTTTTTTTTTTTTATTAGTTGTTGTTTTTGCTGCGCCTTTTTTTTTTTTTTTTTTGTTTCTCCTCCCTTTATTTATTTATTTGTTGGAAATAATTATTTAATTTATTTATTTATTTTTTTTTTTTTCAATACACATATAAACAAATATATATGAATGAATAATTATATACAAATACATGAGGACGCGTAATTATTTTTGAGTGCGTGGCAAATTGTGATTGTTTTTATTTATTTCTTTCTCCCTGCGTGTGGAGGTCTTGTGGGGCATATGTGTTTTTTCCTTTTTTTTTTCCTTTTTTTTTTTTTTTTTTTTTAGGCGTTTTTTTTTGTTTGTTTGTGTTTGTAGGAGGGAGAAGGACAAAAGGAGTGACCAGGGTGGAGTGCTGGGGGGCGGTGAAGGCACGGGCCACTATTATTATTATTATTATTTTTTATTTATATTTACAATTTTTTTTTTTTTTATATAAATTTATTTATTTATATAAATATATATTTTTGTTGTTGTTTTTGTATAATTTTTGGTTCATACCAGCGGAAATTTATTTTGTGGAGGTGAGCAAAAGGGTGGCTTGGAAACGCCTGTACAAAATGAGGGATGAGCCGGCGTGGGCCCTGTTTGCGACGACGGTCGTAAGTCACGTACCGATGATTCCAACGGCGTTTTTGTTTTATAAGCGTCGTTATGTGTATGAGGCATGTGTTGCGGCCTTTGGTCTTACATCGTCTCTTTTGTACCACACTTGCCAGTCATTTGACGTGGAGATATTTCTTGACGAGCTTGGCTGGCACCGGCTAGACAACATTGCTGTTCTTGCTGGAGTAGGCATGTGGTTTGTGTTTCTCTGTACCTTTAAAGACCCCGTTGTGGAGCGCAGCGTCAAGTACTTCACACTTCTGGCGAGTATCATCATTGAGGAGAAGGATCCATGGAATGTTGCGTACACCGTAGTACCTATTACTCTTTTTGCCTGCATTCCTGTTGCAGTGTTCTTGTACACTAGGCAGGTTCCGGCGATTGAGTATCGCCAATTTATCATTGCCGCTATATTTATGTGCCTCGCCGTTCCGTTTTTTATTGTCGGACTAAACGATACGGAAGATCCATGCCGCATATATCACGGCATGTGGCATCTTTTTGGAGGCATCTCCTCCTACTTCATGTGGCTTATGGTGAAGACGCCCGGTGCAACAGGGCCTTACCCCAAATTTGGATCCATCACTGTGCGCGGGGACACACTTCTTTGACGATAGACATGAACGAAGAGCGGAGGGGAGGGGGTCGACACAAAAGTAGCGGAAAATTTGAAAAGAATTTTATAAATACGTTTACACATGGACCGTGCGTCATGTGGAAGAGCAGCGGATGGATACCTTTTGACTTGGATCTGTCGTAAAGGTTGCTTTTACGACGATGAAATGACAGCAGCCACAACAGCAAAAAGAAGAGGCGGTTTTGTCGGTAAAATTAGGATGCGGGTGGATTTGAGGGGAACCCATGGGTTGCATGCTGAATTCCGTTATCTATCCCTGTGTGTCTGGGTGGCAAAGCCGACGTAGCCACGGGCTACGTGTTGTGGCTTCACTGAAACAGTTTGGGAGAAATGCTTTTCATCATCTTTTTTTTTTTTTTTTTCCTTTTGTCTGTTTTCTTCTTGTTTTTTCCGTTTTGTCTTTGGCTGCACAAAAGCCACCAGAGGCAAAGAGGACGATGTGATGCATCCCAGTGACTGTGTCGACGCTACTCCCTTGCGTGGTGTGGGTGGGTCCGCGCCTGACTGGCAACGGTGCCCTCCGCTCACGAGTCATCCACGGATCGGGCGTTTTCGCCCCGGCGGCGAGAGGGGCGCCGTGCCCGTCACAAAATCACAGTCTTTGGTGGCGGTATTAAAAGGTGCCGCAGAGACATTACGCCATAAGCGGGGCGCAGCTAAAAGGGCATGCCTCAATGAGAAGGAGAAGGGCGAAAGTCCAGGGGAGGGGAGGTTGACTGGATGCGTTATTGGGGCTCAGGGCCCCGGGCACACGCGGGGCGGTGGTGGTGTTGAGGACGCCTTGCGAAAAGGCTCATGGCGTTGGATAAAATTGCGTTGGACGTCGAAACTCTCAAAGGAGGGTATTGAACTCTTGCAAGCGGTGCGCCGAGATGCCTGTTGGCGGGCATCTTTAACCGTGACGACACCATGGACTTTACGCATCGAGTCGAATAAAAAAGAGGTGATTTGGTGGACGCGGGGCAGGCAAGAAGAGAATACACCGAAGAAAGGTACTCAAACAAACAAGCAAACAAGAAAGAAGAGTGAGCGTTGCACCAAACGTCGCTTGTTTTTTTTGTTTTCGTTTTTTTTCTTTTTCCCTTCCCATTTTATTATTATTATTTTTGTTGTTTTTTGTCCTTTTTAAAAATTTTACTCTCTCGTACCGGGCCGCTCCTTTTTCTTGAGCACATGATACTCTTTTTCTCCAACCTCCTATCATTGGCTACGACTGCCTCTTATATCATTGTGCCGCAGTAACTTGCCA